AAAAAAAAAAAAAAAAATGCCTTCGACCTTTAACAGAGATAGGATAGAAGCACTCCAATTTCCAAAACTCAGGCAATTTTTTTACAACTGCTTCATGTACATGGTACTTTTTCAATGGCCAGTTACATTCTAAGATAAGAGTATAAACAAAATTTCTTAAAAGCATTTACCAAATACGTTTCGGTGGAAGCCTTTTTTTCTTCTTTTAATTTCACTAGGAATTTTCCATAAGTGCACTTATTAACAATAAAAAATCTCAAATAAAAAAAAAATAATTAGCCAGCAAAAATTCACTATGAACCCGTTCGTCGTCATTCAAAAGCTTACTCATCACTGACCGACGGCAAAAACCCAAGCTCCCTAGCTGGGTTTTCAGAGTGAATAAAATCACTTCAAAAGGTTTCAGTGTTCTACTAGATACTCAATGAACATCACTAAACTTTTATAACGATTTTTTTGCACTCCAATAACGTTTTCAAGAACCTATGGTGAAAACACCTAAGTGACACTCATTTTGTTCCAAACTGCAGTAGACTAAAGTTATATAAATAACGAAACAAGCAAATAAGTATAAACTAAAAAATAAATAAAAAAGAGGTAAATCAGACGAGTGAATTAAGTAAATAAATAAATAAATAATAAATTAATAAACATATTTATTTATTTATAACTTCTGCTAAATGTAATTGTGCCGTTCTTTATGATCAGAAGAGACAGACGCAGGGCTCTTTTGTTGATAGAACTCATATTCCAAGTGCTTCTTTTCAGATTTCCTAAAATTTTTTTTACCAAATATATTTCCGGTGTGCTGAGCCCCTCTGAAGAAATAAAACAAAAGAAATCTTTTTTCTGGAATTATTAGCAAGGATATGCCGCATACAGACTCACCAGCTATAAATATCCCAATCGTATTTATACTCCTTCAAATTTCTTCCATTTTTTTTTTTCACTTTTTAACAACTAAACATCCTTTTAAAAACATCCAATCATAATTACAACAATGATACCGCTATGAGAAACAAAACTGTGAAGCGAGGTGAAATAAATTGTGCAACAATCAGCAGCAATAACAATAGCCACAGTAATAATAATAGCAATGATGGCATAAGAAAACAAAATAAAAAAAAAAAAAGAGGAAAGCAACACCTTTTCACTGTAGATTTTCTGTTTCCAAATGACTGGTAATGATGCAATGCATTCAAAAAGTATTAACGATTATTAATTGATTGATACACATCAGATAACGAAGTAAGCGGGTTTTTTACATTAATCATATACATGTGAGTAGGCAGAAGAATCAGGGAGAAACACTAATTAAAAGAAAAAAAAAGGCTGATACAACTACTGAACCTTCAAAAATCAAATTCAAGCTATAATTTGAGACATGAAGTTTGGACGAACTTAAAAGCCCAGATCTAAAATCTTTGGCTCCGGCGGGAAAAGCAGTGAAATCTGCCCGCATACTGATCTTTCCGCTATGTACGGATCAAGGTCCCGCGTCACTTGGCGCAGTGCCAACACAGAAGTTCACTCGTTCACGACTTCGCGTTCTACAAAAAGCTGACTCGACGCGATCGTCAACCATTGTACAACTGCGTTATTGTTGCAGGTATTTTGCTTCCTGAACTGTTAGTTTGTGTGCAACTTGGTTGTTGCCGAATGTTCCGGTCCAGTGAATCGTCTTCTCATAAGCCCACTTTAGAATCGCATGAGCAAAATAGAAAAATCAAACAATTTTTTCATCTTTTTATTGTAAAATTCCCTAGCATTTATTACGGATGCGCTTGCATCTTGATCGCAACCCTTTCTTGTTGCGTATGGACACCGATTGACAGAGTGTGATTCATGTGCACCGGCGGCCGGTAAGAGTTCTCTCCTTTCTGTGCACAGCTGGTTCTTTTTTTACTTTACTTTTTGGTTGCAATGCTACCATAAAGACTGACATCATTTGTATTCAAACACGCTGACTAATTTGAGCACCCTGTAAACAGTACTTCTGAAAGCGTCAGCGGACGTATGATTTGTATTTCGCATCCTCCTCTGGTGTCTTTCTTTAAGTTCGACACCGAGTGCGAAAAAGCGATTTACTGAAAACCAATGCACAGCATTTTCCTTTATCAAATTCACCTGATTAATGTATCACATGAATACACTTAGTGTGGCAGAACCTTCAGTATTCTCCATATCAAAGAAAGACCACAAGTTACACTTATAAAACGCTAGCTTTCTTTTTGGACATTCAGTATTATAATTCAAAAAAAAAAAAACACTGAACTTTGTATTTCGGTACGAAATTTTTAGAAGAAACGTAACTAACGCC